CCGGCTCACTTGCCTCCTGTCATTTTGGCTGCGATCTAACAGCTAGGAACCCATTATAAAGAACAGCCCTGTTCCACTCTGGACAGGAGTGGCCCGGGGAGCTGTTTCCAGGGGAGCCTGCTTGGCCTGGGGCCCAGAAAACTAAGGTAACCTAAAGTGACGTGGGCTGGAGACTGTGTCCATGTGTCGCAGCTGACACTGTCAGCAGTGGCAGAACAGGGCCCTTGGGGATGGATGTCCAGCGGCCAGCCGTCTGAAGGACCCATTCCTTCCCTCTTTGGCAGAACCTCCACCCATGCCTTCCTTTCTTCCTCCTTACTGCCTCAGTTTTTAGCCAACCGAGGCCCTAAACTGAACTCCTTTGCATTTTCAGCAAATTGAGGGGATCGAGAAAGGTCACCCAGCTCACTCCAACACACTGGGAAAGAGAGGACGCTGTTCATCCAGGTGTTAGGTGTTAGGGACCCCAGGGGACTAGCAATTTTGGTTTACCCAGGAAGAGGGAAGTTGCTAGAATCTTTGATTCAGGTTTGAGAAGCAGGGCTTGAAACCTTTTTTCTAACTCTCTCATTCATCCTTCCTCTAAAATCTTATTGTATGCACCAGCTGGGCCACAAATGGAGATCTTTTTTAAAATACACCTTTTTATTTTAGAATCATTTTAGATTTGGGAAAATTTTGCAAATATACTAAAGAGATGGTTCTTTCTTTTGAGACAGAGTTTCACTCTGTTGCCAGGGCCGGGAGTGGGCAGTGGCAAACATCTGGCCTCACTGCTACCTTCACTCTCCTGGGTTCAGGCGGATTCTCCTGCCTCAGCCCTTCCTGAGTAAGCTGATTACAGGCACCCCACCACGCCAGCTAATTTTTGTATTGTTTAGTAGAGCACAGGGTTTCACCATGTTGGCCAGGCTGGTTTGAACTCTGACCTCGTGATCTGCCACCCTTGAACCTCCCAAGAGTGCTGGGATTACAGGTCTGAGCCCCACGCTCAGCCAGAGATCGGTCTTTAATTTTGAAAGTCTTATATTAATCTTGTCTCCCTTATTAGGTTTGTATGATTTTTTGAGGTCAATTTCTTTTGTATACTTAGTGCTTAATATGGGTAGGGCAACATAGATTATGACTAATAGGTAACAATACAATGACAGCAGCCACATAACCATGTACAGCACTTACAGTGGTACAAGAGCTTTACTTTTTTATTTATTTTTTTTTGAGACAGAGTCTCATCTGTTGCACAGGCTGGAGTGCAGTGGCACAATCTCCGCTCACTGCAACCTCCACCTCCCTGATTCAAGTGATCCTCCGTGGCTCAGCCTCTTAGTAGCTGGGACTACAACTGTGTGCCCGCCGCCATGCCCAGTTAATATTTTTGTAGTTTTTAGTGGAGATGGGGTTTCACCACGTTGGCCAGGTTGGTCTGGAAATCCTAACCTCAGGCGATCTGATCCTCCTGGGTCGGCCTCCCACAGTGCTGGGATTACAGGTGTGAGCCCCTGGCCTGGCCCAAAGAGCTTTTGAATTCATTATTTTACTTGTATGCACACAAGATGTAAACTCAATGAATTTCTTTCTTTATTTCTTTAGAGACAGAGTTTTGCTCTGTCACCCAGGCTGGAGTGTAACAGCATGGTCATAGCTCACTGCAGCCTTGAACTCCTGGGCTCAAGTGATCCTTCCACCTCAGCCTCCCAAGTCGCTGGGGCTATAGGTGTGCATCACCGTGCCGTGCGGCATCCGCCTGGGCTCTCTACTCCATGCCTGTGCAGTTTCAACAAGGGGCTGCTTGCCGTCAGTGGGAAGCTGGGACCTAAACCACACACGCAGCTGACCTCCCCTGGGGCACAAACTCACAGGAACATGAGGAATGTAGAACTTCATGGGCGCCTTGGGACGCCAGCTGAGGGAGAACATCCTGCGACCACAAGACAGCAGATGGACATTGTTTAGCGTTCACTCCATCCACTTTCTTTAGTTCAGGAATAATGCCACCGACCTATTCTGCCCAACATTCCCTGCTGAACCCAAAAATAAGATTCTGGGTGGGTTGTGGTAAATTAGAGAAGGCCATGTTCCTGCTCCAGTTCCCCCAGATCTTAAGCCCTCTGAATGTGTCACAATAGCAAGCATGGGCCTTGATGATCAGTCCAAATGATAATGCACATCAGCCCAGACCTCCTCAGTGATGTTTGAGAGGCCAAAAGAGTCCCTCCGGCTTCCGTGGCCCTATACGCTCCATGACCAAAGTTCCAACATCCAGACAAAGCAACATGATGCTTTTGCGTCTTGCTTTGCTTTCCCTAATCGTCTCTGGTCTTCCCCTTTCTAAAAGGCCACCAGCCGAGTGCCTTCCTTTCCCAACCTGATGATGGAATAGGGGACAGTGTTCCCCTTCCAGGAAATCGGCTAATGATGCAATTACTATTACAAGCAAAGATAGAAACATGAAAAACCAAAGTCTGACCTTCTCCTGCCCAGAGACCTACATAAGCAGAATGCCGTGACAACTGAATCCCCATAAGGTGACTTTCCAGAGACTTTCCCACCCCAGCCTTTCCCCCACATCAAGATCAACCAAACTCTTGTGATCATTTTAGAACCACCATCCCTGAAACTGGGACTCCAAGCTCTGAAGCTGGGGATCCATCCTGCTCGAGCATCTTGAGGTACCTGACTGGAGCTCATAGCTGCTGGAGCCGGAACCCCGACTCAACGCGCTGGGGAAGAAGGTTTGGACTCACTAAGCCAGTGATGCTGAAGCTTAAAACAATACAAAACACATAGGAAAAGAAAGTTCAGGAGCTGGTCTTCTCCAACGCATTACTTCAAAGAACAAATACGTGAAAGGTGGAGTGTTGAACGAAAAAGAGAAAATCAAGTTGATAGGCATTTGCAAAGGATATATT